CCATGGTCGACGATGTGGGAATCCAGCGACATAGCCATTACGCTAACTGCTGGTCCCAAAAATGTTTTTTATACTAAAATAAACTTGTACTTTTAAAATTTTGTTTTGGCTACAGGGTATGGACGTTTGTTGGAGAGAGAGAGTGACAGAGAGCAAGGGGAAGCGAGAAATCACATTCTAGAGGGGAGGCCACAACGCAATCCCTCCTCCTTCATTCTACTCTTGGGATTTTGGGCACACATGTACATATGCCTAGTGTGATTCTCTTTTATACTAAAATAAACTTGTACTTTTAAAATTTTGTTTTGGCTACAGGGTATGGACGTTTGTTGGAGAGAGAGAGTGACAGAGAGCAAGGGGAAGCGAGAAATCACATTCTAGAGGGGAGGCCACAACGCAATCCCTCCTCCTTCATTCTACTCTTGGGATTTTGGGCACACATGTACATATGCCTAGTGTGATTCTCAGCCACTAGATCCAGTTTTGAACCACAGAGTCAGTCATGTGGGATCCTGCACCTTAATAACCACACCACCTATTGGCCCTAAATCTGCTTTAATTCCATTTTTCTATGAATTTTTTGAAGTCCCTTACATATGGCGGATTCTAGACTCTTACAGGATATATCATTTGCAAATGTTTTCTTATATTCTTTGGGTTGTCTTTTCTTTCTTTCTTTTTCTATAGGGCATGTGGCCTCGCCAGAAAGACAGAGAGAAGCAGAGACCGAAAGTAAGAAATCACCCTTCAAGGGGATAGCCACGCCATAATCCTTCTCCTCCATTCTCCTCACAGGATCTTGGGCACACATGCACATGTGCCAGCGTGAGTTTTGAGCCACTGGGTCCGGGACTCGAACCACGGTCAACTACATTGGAGTCCAGTGACATAGCCATCACGCCGACTGCTAGTCCCATTTTCACTTTCTTGATAGTGTCCTCTGAAACAAAATTAGTTTTTAATTTTGAGAGATTTTTGCCATAGTATGCATGCATTTGCTAGAGAGACAGAGAAACAGAACATGAGAAATCACCCAGGGAATGGCCATGCCTCAGTCCCTTCTCCTCTGGGGATTTTGGGCGTGCACGTACACAGGTCTGGCATGAGTGTTAAGCTGCTGGGTCTGGAACTCAAATCACAGTGGGAGTCCAGTGACATAATCATTATGCAATCTGTTGATCCCAGTTTTTAATTTTAAAGATAAGAAAACTGGTTGTATTATTAATTTATTCTTTCACAGACTATGCTTTTGATACTAAGAAATTTCTGTTTACCAAAAGATCATAAAGATCTTTTTTATTCCATGGTCGACAGTGGTTCAAATTCTGGCCTGGCAGCTTGAAAAACTTTCCAGGTAGTATTTATATGTAAAATCTTGATAGGATAGAGAAATTGAGAAAGGATTATGATGTGACCACACCCCATTTTGGGGGTGCTATCTCTCTTTCTCTCTCCCTCTGTTTTTCTGGCAAGCACATGCACCCTATGGCAATTCAAAAAAATTAATACCAGAACCTGAGATGGTGTAATGGTTATGCTGCTGGACTCCCACGTATTTGACTGCATTTCGAGTACCAGACCCGGCGGCTTCAAACTCACGCAGGGCGTGTGTGTGTATGTGTCCAAGAGCCTGAGAGGAGGGAACCAGCAGTTAGCGTAATGGCTATGTTGCTGGACTCCCACGTAGTCGACCGTGGTTTGCGTCCCAGACCGGGTGGCTTAGAACTCACGCCAGGCGCGTGTGCGTGTGTGCCCAAGATCCCGAGAGAAGAATGGAGAAGGGATTGCGGCGTGACCATCCCCCCTGGGGGGTGATTTCTCGCTTTCTGTCTCTATGTCTCTCTCTGTCTGTCTGGCGAGCGCACGCGCCCTATAGTGAAAACCTCTCAAAAAATAAAAAGAGCCTGAGAGGAGAACAGAAGAGAAGGGGTTGCAGTGTGGCCACACCCACAGGGGGTGATTTCTTACTTTCTGTCTGTCTCTCTGGTGAGCACATATGCCTTTTAGCAAGAATCATTCAAAAACAAATAAAATAAATAATATTTAGTCTTTTAATCCATGAATGTGGAATGTTTCTCATTATATAGATCTCTAATTTCTCTAAGCAATATTTAAAATTTTTCAATTTGAAAGTCTTATACTTAAGGTTTTTTTTCCAATATTTTGTTTACACTACTGTGAATGAAACTTTAATTCTATTTTTTAATCATTTTCTGTATGTAGAAATATAATGAATTTTTATACATTATATTGTACAGTATAAGGTTGCTTAGCTATTGATAGTTTATTTAGTTCTAGTAGTGTTTTGGGTATGGATTCCTTAGGATTTCTACATACAGCTTCATGTAATCAGCAAATAGGCAGACTTACTACTTTCATTCCACTCTGGATACCTCGTTTTTAAAATATTTATTTATTTAACTTACTTTTTAATTTTTGCTACAGGGCTACACTCATCAGAGAGAGAGAGAAAGAGAAAGTAAGAAAACAAGCCACCAGGTCTAGGACTCAAACCGTGGTTGGCCATGTCCAGCGCCCCAACCACCATGCCACCTGCTGGCCCCCTGGATGCCTTTTTAAAAAATTAACTTTATGTATTTTTTTTTTGTAACACAGAGTGTGTGCAAACTGACCCTTGACAGGGTCTTATTATCCCATGATTACTCTCCCCAGTCCTCCAGAGCTCCTCAGGATCTTGGGTGAGTGTGTCTACATGCGCCCAGTATATCTTAGGTCAACCTGACTAGGATCAGAACCCACAGTTGGCCATGTGGTTTCTAGCTCTACAGTCCAGTATGCTACCAAGGCTGGTCTAGATGTCTTTTATTCCAGTTTGTTTTCTGACTGTACTGGATGGAACCATCACTACACTGTTAAATGTAAATGTTAAGAATGGATATTCTTGCCTTGTTTTGAACCTCAGAGGGGAAAGCATTCAGAATTCCAATAGGCCAGCCTCAAAGTACAGTGCTTCAGGAGCTGGGTCCCATATGGCTGACTGGTTTTAAGCCATGATCTTGACAAACACATGGGCACATGTGTATGCCCAAAATCATGATGGGATGTAAAAATTGAGGAAAAAGGATTGTGATGTGACCACATCTCATTAGAAGGTGCTTTTCCTTTATTTATTTATTCTTTTTTTGGAGAGGTTTTTGCTACAGGGCGCATGCGCTTGCCAGAAAGACAGAGAGACAGACATAGAGAGACAGGAAGTGAGAAATCACCCCCCAGGGGATGGCTACACCGCAATCCCTTCTCTTCCATTCTCCTCTTGGGATCTTGGGCACGCACGCACACGCACCCAGCGTGAGTTTAAGCCACTGGGTCCAGGACTCGAACCACAGTCAACTACGTGGGAGTCCAGCAACATAGCCATTATACTAACTGCTGGTCCCAGAAGGTGCTTTTTCTGATAATCACAAAAGAATTAATGAAAGTTCACCATTAAATATGATGCTACCTGTAGGCTTTTGGTATGATGGTCTCTCCATTATTGAGGGAGCAATTGAAGTCTTCATCCATTATTGAAAGTGAAATTTTGATCCCTGTTATTGTTGAATAGTTTATTTTTCTCTTCAATACTATTGCCCCCCCCCCACCTTATTCATAAAATGTGTGCATGAATGAGAAAGAGAGGGAGGGAGAGAGAGGGAAGCACCTTCTAGAGTCTGGTCACGCTGTAATCCCTCTCCTCCAATTATGTAGCCCACTGGATCTGGGGCATTCATACATGTGCCCAGAATGTTTCAGGCTGATTGGGTTGGGGATTCAAACAAGTCACCATATGGCACCTTGCATCTCTAGAGCACTGCCGTTATTAATTCTATGCCATAAAGGCAGTCCAATGCTGCCTTTTTAAAAAAAAAATCATTGCCATAGGTGTGTATGCTCACCAGGAACAGAGAGAGGGAGAAAGAAGCACTCTGTGCCTCTCCTCCATTTCTCTAACCTATCAGGATGTATGCACACATGCTGGGAGTGTTCTTTAAGCTGCCAAGAGTCAAGATTTAGACCATGGTCAACTATGTGTGGTTCAGTTCCCTATGCATAGTGTTAAATTGTCACACTGGGGGGCTCTCAGTTTTTATTTCATGTATTTTGGGGCTCTGTTGTTAGGTGTGTATGCTCACAATTGTTGTATCTCTCTGATGAGTTGACTTTTTATTTATAAAACGTTCCTCTTAGTTGCTAGTAATTTTTTTTCTTTTTCTTTTCTTTTCTTTTTTATTTTTTAAGTTTTTTGCCATAGGGCATGTGTACCTGCCATGGAGAATAGAGAGACAGAGAGGGAAAAGGAAAAATCACTTCCTAGAGGGGATGGCCATGCCGGAATCCCTTCTGCTCCATTCGCCTCTCGGAATCTTGGCATGCACGCACACATACTCAGCATGATTTTCAAGCCACTGGGTCCAGGACTCAATCACAGTTGGCCATGTGGGAATCCAGCCGCTGGCCCCTCTAGTTGTACCTTTTTGATATTAGCACGGATCAACACTAATTTGGATGGTCTGACTTAACAATTTTTTAACTTAATAATGGGTTTATCAGGGAGTAACACCATCATAAGTCAATCAGCTTTTGGACTTACACTACTCTGATTTTTTTTTTTTTAAACTTAAAATGGATTAAACAGAATACAGCTCCATCATAAGTTGAGGAGCATCTATATAATCATTCAAGTTCTTTTCTGGTTATCATTTACATGTTGTAACTTTTCCATACATTTATTTTCAATCTATTTCTGTCTGGACATAAAGTGTTTCACTGCAGGATAGCATAAAGTTGAATATTGTTTTTTATCTAGTCTGATGGCAACTCATAGTGCCTTTCTCCACTAAGGGAGGTCATTCTTTTGAATCACACAATTTTGGGATATGTGTGAGAGGAGACGGTCTTCGGCCAAACTAACCCTGGCAATCGCTACTGTGACAGGTGAATCCGTCTGTCTCTAACCCAGTAACCTACCTCTCAGCCACTGCTAGCAGCCGTTCTGGCCTAAAGGTGCCCTCGGTGTCAATGTACATGGCCTTTCCTTCACCTCCACCCCGGTCAATAGGAAGCTAGAGAAAATGAAAAGAATAAAGAAAATAAATACTATACTCCTGACATAGCTACCAAGTCCCCCATGACAACTCTGTAATCCCTCCAATCTCTCTAATAAGACAAAAGTAAAAAACACTTTAAAATCAGAGTAGCAGGACTAGAGTGTGGCAGGGTGATTAAGGTGCTAAACTTCCACAAGGCCAACTGTGGTCTAAGTCATAGACCTGGTGGCTTGCCTTCTCATATTTCTTCTCTCTCTTTCTGATATCAAAATTAAATAATAATAGTAAATAAAATAAAATAAATATTTTCCCCCTAAAAATTCCATAATCTTTTTTTTTTTTAAAGAATCCATCCTTTTTTGGGAGGAAGAATTATTTTATTTTAACTTACTTACTTACTTACTTTATTTATTTATTTAAATTTGACCAGAGAGTGACAGAGTGAGAGAGAAAGAGAGAGGGAACGTGAGAAAGCAAGTTGCCAGGTCTGGGACATGAACTGCTGTCAGCCATGTGGGATTCCACCATCCTTAACCAATACGCCAGAAGTTGGCCCCAATATATAATTCTTTAAAAAAATTAAATAATTCTTTTTTTTTTTTTGGAGAGATTTTTGCTATAAGATGCGTGTGCTCACCAGATAGAGACAGAGAGCCAGAAAATGAGAAATCACACTGCAATCCCTTTTCTTCCATTCTCCTCTCGGGATCTTGGGCAAGCACGCACAAGTGCCCGGCGTGAGTTTTAAGCCACCGGGTCCGGGACTCGAACCACGGTCAACTACATGGGAGTCTAGCAACATAGCCATTATGCTAAGTGCTGGTCCCAAAAAATTAAATAATTCTTATTAAGAAAAAAAATCGGAGCACAAGAAGAAAATGGAGAGGGGATTGTGGCCTGGCAGTCCCTCCTGGGAGGCAAGTTCTTACTTTCTTTCCCTCTTTATCTCTATAGAGTACATGTGCCCTATGGCAAAAATATGAAAAACTAATAATATATGGGGCCAAAGGGTAGTGTGGTGGTTAAGGGTCCTAGCTTCTCACATAGTCGACTGAGATTCGAGTCCCAGACCTGAAGGGTTGCTTTCTCATTCTCTCTTTCTCTCTCTCTCACTCTGTCCCTCTCTGGTCTAAATAAATAAATAAATAAATAAATAAATAAATAAAGTTGAATAAAATAATTATAAAAAATAATAATATATGTATTACATAAAAAATAAAAATTCAAACAATATAGGAGTAAAACTTGAAAACTCTTCTTCAGCACTCCTGGAAGTAGCCTTTTACATCATTTTCTATGCAGTCCCATACTTATTTTTGATATATGTGGTTCTGCCCCTGTGACCTTGAGAATATTCTGTAGATAAAGCCCACTTTATGCAATTGTTCTAAAGATTAAATAATTCATGTAAAGTATTTAGCATAGTGGCTGACATACAGAAAGCATCTTGATGACACTATTCTCCCAATCTTCAGGACACTGATTTTACGTATACTCAGTTATGGAAAGCTGTGTTAATTTGGAAAGGTAAAAATTACATATTATTTTTCAGGTTTGCAGATAAAATCTAACATAAACTGGAAGAAAAGACAACAAAAGGTGGTCTTGATAGAGGAAATATTTTGAACCACTGGTCAAGATAACAAAAAGCGGAAGCTGTCTGGGTTTGAAAAGGAGGAAATCTTGACACTCTAGGGGCTGTATCTACAGAAGAGAGATGAACAAGCTTCCTCTGTCTCTCACTTTCTGGGATCTTCAACGCTATCATGAGAGCGAATTCTAATTTTGCCAGAGGGCATGTATACTTGCTAGAAAGAGAAGCGAGGAAAGAGAAAAAAACAAAGCAACTCCCTCTCCTGCCCCAATGGGAATGGTCCTATCACAATTCCCCTCCATTTCCTTCTTTTTCAGCATCTTGGGCATGCATGCACATGTATTCGAAGTGTTTGTTTCAAACTGTCAGATCTGGGACTCAAACAACACAGCCACCTATATGGGATCTAGCTGTCTTAATTATCATGCCACTGCCTGGCCCAAGAGGGGATTCTTTCCCAACTGGTTGGACCTCTTGGGCAGAAGAAAGGTCGTAAGTCACTAGGTATATGCAGGCAGATTAATAGCAGGGTCGTGAACAAGGTCCTACGGTATTCTTGGGATAGGAGTAGCCTATGACAGACTCAGAGGGATGGATGACATGCTCTGTTTTCAGGCCATTTCACCCCTCCCACCTTATTGTCCTAGTGCCACTATACCCATCTCATTACTGGGCTGAGACACCAACAAGGTTAGATTTTTTAAAAATTTAATTAATTAAAAATAATTTGCTCTAAGGTGTGAGCTTGCCATAGACAGAGAAGAGAGAGAGAGAGAGAGAACCCTCCTGGGGGAAACAGTCACATCACAATCTTTCTCCTCCATTCTCCTCTTGGGATTTTGGGTAACATGCACATGCTCCTGGTGTAATTTTCAAGCTGCTGGCTCTGGGACTTGAATCTCAGCCATTTGGGAATCCACCCCTTTAATCATCATGCCACATGCTGGCCCCAGAGTACATGCTTTTAAAAGTTATCTTCTTAAAATTTTTAAATTACACTAAAACTTTTGATAAATATATGGCATCCATTTTAAAACTATAGCTCTCAATTTTATGTTAACTTTACTATTAAACTGAGTCTAACAGTGAAATTTCCCTTCATTAAATTGAGAAAATCTAAATAGTAAATAAGAGCAGATAATGTTAGACTACAGCTATTCAGCCACCTGTGAATGTTATTTTACAGAGAAGCTATGTACACTTGAGAATTTTATTTCAGATTACTGTTGACAGGCATTATCTGACTACTTAATAAACATCCCCAAGCTAGGATTCTATTGTACAATGTTAGAATGTCTGCGGCATATGCTGAGCTGCTATGGCAACGATGTGACTGTTGTGTACTGTACTCTCAATGTTTATTATACATGAATCTCTGCCAAAACATGAAGAAAACACTTCTACCTAAACAGGTCACATATCATAGCAAATGACTCATGTCAGAATCTTTTTTTTGAGAGAGATTTTTAGCTACAGGGCACATGCACTCGCCAGAGACACAGAAAGCGAGAAATCACCCCCCAGAGTAATGGCCATGCCTCAATCCCTTCTCCATTCTCTCAGGATCTTGGGCATGCATGCACACACACCTGGCTGAATTTTAAGCTACCTGGCCCAGGACTTGAACCGCGATCCACCATGTGGGAATCCAGTGATGTATCCATTATGCCATCTGCTGGTCAGGATCTTTTTTTTTTTTTTTCCATTTTTTTTTTTATCTTTTTATTTGTTGGGATTTTAAAAAAGAGGTTTTTGCTATAGGGCACATGCGCTCGCCAGACAGACAGAGAGAGACAGAGAGACAGAAAGCGAGAAATCACCCCACAGGGGGAATGGCCAATCCCTTCTCCTCTGTTCTCCTCTCGGGATCTTGGGCATGCATGCACACACACCTGGCTGAATTTTAAGCTACCTGGCCCAGGACTTGAACCGCGATCCACCATGTGGGAATCCAGTGATTTATCCATTATGCCATCTGCTGGTCAGGATCTTTTTTTTTTTTTTTTCCATTTATTTATTTATCTATTTATTTGTTGGGATTTTCAAGGCACTGGGTCTGGGACATAAACTACAGAGGCCATGCGGGAATCCAGTACCTCAACTACTACGCTGCCTGCTGGTCCCAAATCAGGATCATATTTTAAACAGCCTTATCATTTGTTAGTTATTGAATTTCTAATGGTGCTCAGGCAATAACTATAATGTCCACAGCTTATCACTACTCTTTTAATTGAAAGTTTGCCTACACCCCTACTCTCTCTCTTCCTCAGAATTGTTTATGGGGAGAGTCAATAATGACATATGTCCACTTGATAAATCCTTACTTGGCTGTCTCATAAGACACATGGTAGCGCTCAAAGAAAAGATCAGTCAAGCAATGAAGGAAAGAAGAACAATTAAAATGACATGCGAAGGGCCAGTCGTGCAACTATAAAATATGAGGTCCTGTGAGGTTGACCCATATGAGAAGGTTCTGAGTTCAAGTCCACAGACCTCCCTAAACATAATGGGCCTTGACATGTGAAAGATCCAAGGCTGGCTGCAGCTGCAGCTGGATTGTGGCATCAAGACTTTGCTGGAGGCGGGTCTCTTTGTCTATTTCATGTACAAAATCAATTTTATTCATGAAGAACATGAGTATTTTCTTATCTCAAGAAGTGGCATTCATGGGGCCAGCCAGTGGTGTGGTGGTTACAGCGACTGGATCCCACATGGCGGACTACACAGTTTAAGCCTTGAACCTGGTAGTCTGGAAAATACCCAGAGCACATGTGTAGGTACGTGCATGCACAAAATCCAGAGAGGAGAATGAAGGAGAAGGGACTGCTACATGGCCATCCCTTCCAAGGAAGTGCTTTCTCACTTTTCCTGTCTTTTTGTCTGCTCTCTCCAGGGAACACTCGCACCCTATAGCAAATTAAAAAAAAAAAAGGAAAAAGAAACACTATTCACCACCTCAAGACATTCACTCTGTGGTAAACAATGAAGAATATAGTTTTAAAAAATGAGGTACTGGGACAAGCAGAGGGCATAATGGTTATGTCCCACATGGCTGACTGTAGTTCAAGCCCTGGAACCAGTGGCTTGAAACTCATGCCAGACACATGTACATGCCTGCCCAAAATCCCAAGAGAAAAACAGAGAAGAAGGGACTGTGGTGTGGTCATCCTGCTGGGGTGTAATTTCTCATTTTCTGCCTCTCTCTCTCTCTTTCTTTGTCTCTCCAGAGAACACAAGTACCCTGTGAAAAAAAAAATCTCTCTAAAAGTGAGATTTATTTTTTGGGGGGTGGGTAACTTGAGAAATTGGTCTCAATATATTGGTCTCAGGAGATATAAGTTTTACTAAATGTGTAAGACACAGGGTCCAAAGAAAATCTACATTTTTTAAGGCACACCATCTTTATAACATAGCATTATATCAATGTAGCAAATTTTTCTGATAAAGTACTCTTTAATTTCAGAATAAATTATGAAGGATAATTCTTAAATGGTTCAATAAGAAAAAAACACATGAGAAACATATAGTTGATATATAAATTTATGTAAGAACTCATACCAGGATTAAAAGATACTAGGAAGCCTCCTCTATCATACTGATATAAAGAGGCAAAAGTTTTAGTTGTTTTTGAATTCTTCCAATAATTTGTATATATGGTAGAAATTATCTAGATTAAAATTGGAGGCTGGCAGGTGGTGTGGTGGTTAAGGTGTTGGACTCCCACATGGCCAACCATGGTTCAAGTCTCGGACCATGACTTGCTTTCTCACTTTCCCTAGTGGCTTGCTTTCTCACTTGTCCTCTCCTGTCTCTCTCTCTCTGGTTAAATTAAATACTGATGATAATAAAAAGTAATAATAAATAATTATTAAAAAAATAAAATTACACAACTTTCTGGTCTAGCCATAGTGGCATGGGTGGGAGGGCACCATTGTATAATAGCTGAGGCTACATGGGAGGTCTGGATTCAGTTAAGGAGCCCAACTTAAAGTGGCAGGCTGGGACAGACTACCCCTCTCTCCCCCACACAATATAACCTGATATAAGAAAACATGGGCACAAGGCCAGCAGATGGCGAAATGGTTATGTCACTAGACTCTCAAGTAGTTGACTGTAGTTTGAGTCCCAGGCCTGGCAGCTTAAAACTCACATTGGTCATGTGTACGTGCATGGCTAAGATACTGAAATGAGTATGGATTGCAGTGTGGCCATCCCCCCAGTGGGTGATTTCTTGCTTTCTGTCTCTCTCTCTCTCCAGAGAGCATATATACTCAACAACAAAAATCTCTATTAAAAAAAAAGAAAAGACGGGCACAAATATGGTGGACTTACAAGGCTTGATATGAAGAGCAGTTTAAGTTACTGACTATAGGTCACTAAGACTGAAAGTTGAAGAGGAACATAAAGATATGGGGAAAGTGAACAAAGTTATGAGATCTAACAGAGTAAAAAAAAGAACACTTAGGGAGCCAGCAGGTGGCGTGGTGGATAAGGCGCTGGACACTCCCACATGGCTGACCACGGTTCGAGTCCCAGACCTGGTGGCTTGCTTGCTCACTTTTTCTTTCTGTCTCTGTTTCTCTGTCTCTCTGGTCAAATTAGGATAAATGAATGAATAAATAAAATGAAAATTAAATGAAAAAAAAATTAGATATGCCAACCAGTAATGAATGTAAAGTTTGTCATCTTGAATTTAAAGTAAAGCCTGTCAATTTTATGGTATGATTTTTCTCCAATATTGTCAGATATTTGGGTAAAGGCACTGAGAAGACAGGGGACATCTAAGGTTGGTATCCCTGCAAATATGAACATAAATTGAGAGTATTTGTAAGGTTATTACTTTAATCTAGACTAACAAAGAACAGAGCAGGTAAAGCCAGGAAAGGCCTAGTGGATAAGAAAATATTTGAAATGATCTGCTAGTTTATAGGATGAGGAAGAATTCTGCAATAAGAGTCTTTCTTCTAACTAGCTATACAATTCTCAAGGAGAAAGGAAGTACCTTTTATGTCCATCTTAACATATGCTTGCAAATAGTAGGAAACCATAACTGGGTCATCAGAAAAGTCATGAGGCATTTCGCACAGCAAAACAGAAAAATACCTCATGACTTTCCCAAAGACCCAGTGATTCTTGCCAATTTGCTTAGCTAGAACCCCACTGCTCACCTGGCATGTTACAGCTAGTGTATGACAGATCTGGGTTTTCCCAGTTCGGAATTCTCCAAACATTTCTGTGATAGATCCAGTCTCAATCCCACCTAAAAGAGCAATAAGAAACTCCTCTTAGCACAACACAAATGTTTAGAAACTATAACCATAGAAACTATAACCATAGAGATATTTATGTAATTAGGAAATACAACTTCCAACAAGTAATAATTTCTTTAAAAACAATTACAGATTTTAGAAAGTTGTAAAGAAATGTACAAGTAGGTTCTATGTACTCTTCACTTAGCTTTCCCAAATGTTAACATCTTGCATTACTTCAGTGCACCATTAATATCGGAAAACTGATGCTGGTTCAATCCAAACTTTGTTCAGATTTCTCCAGTTATCTACACGTGCATGTGGATATATTGTTATATACAATTTTATCTTGTGTAGCTTCATGTAACTACTGCCACAAACAAGACACAGAACTGTACAATCACACATCAACAAGCAGCCATTAAAAAAATATGTATTTGGACCAGCAGTTGGCATAATGGCTATATCGCTGGATTCCCATGTAGTCGACTGTGGTTTGAGTCCCAGACCTGGTGGCTTAAACTCATGCCAGCTGCATTTGTGTGTGTGTGTGCCCAAGATCCCAAGAGGAGAATGGAGGAGAAGGGACTGCAGCGTGGCCATCACCCCTGGGGGTGATTTCTAGCTTTCTGTCTCTCTGTCTCTCTTTGTCTTTCTGGCGAGTACACACGCCCTATAGCAAAAACCTCTCAAAAAAAAAAGAGGACCAGCAGTTAGCGTAATGGCTATGTTATAAAGGTTATAAAATGCAAAGCCCCTCCCATGTAGTTGACTGTGGTTCACGTCCCAGACCCGGTGGCTTAAAAACTCATGCCGGGCGCATGTGTGTGCGTGCCCAAGAATCCGAGAGAAGAACAGAGTAGAAGGGATTGCGGCGTGGCCATCCCTCCTGGGGGGGTGATTTCTCGCTTTCTGCCTGTCTGTCTGGCGAGTGCACGCGCCCTATAGCAAAAATCTCTCCAAAAAAAAAAAAAAAGTATTTAACTAATATCACCTAATATTTGTTAAATGTTTCTTTTGTACCTGGAATTGTGCTATGCATTTATATGTATTATTCATTTAATTCCAACTACCTATCCTCATTACGAAGATAATAAACTAGGGCTGAAAGACATTAAAAAAATACATATATATATATAATCAGACTATTACATTTAACAATGAACAGCCTGAGTGAAAAAAAAATCTGCATTAAAACCCTTTGTTGAAATGCTTTATACTTTCCACAGAACAGAAACGAAACCTGTTATATAATTAGTCACATATACAGTCCTCATATTTTTGCCCATACACATGAGTACTATCTAAAACATGTCTTCTTTGTAGCAGCTAGGACTTGCCACCACTGTGCTTGGCTGAGTTCACAAATCTGCTGTAACCTGTAGCTTCTCTGTCACTTCTCTGGCTCTCTTCTCCTGCTAAGCGTTGTTTCCTGGCAGTTAATTAAACCTTCTGCCACTGCCATAGCTACTGCTGCTGCACGAAACGACACAGCCACTTTGATTTCGTGGTTTGGCAAAGTGTTGGCCTCCACTGTCATAATGACCAGAGCTTCTGCCTCCAAAGTTTCAACCCTTCGTGAGTCCAAAATTTGAAGACTGATAGTTATAATTGCCAAAATCATTGTAGCTTCTACCACCTTCAAAATTGCTTTCATCATTACCAAATCTGTTATAGCTATCCCCAATTCTACCATATCCACCACCACCACGGCTGCCACCAAAGCCATCACAACCACTGAAGTTTCTTCCATTACCAGTTGTCTTTACCACCAAAACCACTTCCTTGACCACCACTGAAGTTCCCAGAACCACTTCGACCTCTTGGGCTAGATGAAGCACTAGCCATTTCTTGTTTGGATAGGGCTTCCCTTACTTCACATTGTGGCCATTCACAGTATGGTATTTCTGAATGACAGTCTTATCCACAGAGTCATGATCAACAAAGGTTATAAAATGCAAAGCCCCTCTTCTTGCCACTGCCTCAGTCAGTCATGATTTTAATCACTTCAATTTTCCCATATTGTTCAAAAGAATCTCTTAGGTGATGTCCTTTAGTGTCCTATTTTTTTTTTGGAGAGGTTTTTGCGATAGGGTACATGCGCTCGCCAGAGAGAGAGAGAGACAGGGAGACAGAAGGTGAAAAATCACCCCCCTGGGCAGATGGCACGCCACAATCCCTTCTCCTCCATTCTCCTCTTGAGATCTTGGGCATGCATGCACACGCACCTGGCATGAGTTTAAGCCACTGGGTCTGGGACTCGAACCATGGTTGATTACATGGGAATCCAGCGACATAGCCATTATGCCAACTGCCGGTCCCAGAAAGAAAGAGGGAAAGTGAGAGAGCAAGCCACCAGGTCTAGGACTTGAACCATGGTCAGCCATGTGGGAATGTCCAGCACCTTAACCACCACGACACCCACTGGCCCCCCAGTGTCTTCTTTAATGGCACCAACAAAGATCTTTTTCACAGTTGGTGGGCACCTGGTGTTTGAGAATTTTCTTTTGAGACACCCTTCTTTGGTTCTACAACTCTTTCATCCACCCATGTGGCCTTGCATTCATGGCTACATCCATAGCCCGTGGAGTGCTCAGTGTTTGGATCTTGCACTACCACATAGTCGTTGCTCAAAATGGCTCCTCAAGCTCTCATCAGTTGTTTCAAAGTTCAGCCCTCTGAAAAAGAGTTTCTGCACCTGCCCCGGCTCTTTGGGAGACTCCAACTTAACATGATGGCAGTGGAAAGAGAAACTTTAACATGCTTCTCTGGCAGTGTCCAGAGAAAGAAAGGAGCAAGCTAATGAACGTATCTCAACATTAAATATTTATCATGACACAGAAGGAAATGTTGGGAAGGGAAAACACAAGAGGGTAACACTTTTATTTTCTATCTACTCTTTTAAAATTTTTAATTATGTATTTTTAAAAAGAATTATTTTCATTTAACTTTATTTATTTGTTTGTTTGTTTATTTAAATTAGATTTAATTTAACCAGAGAGAGAGAGATAGAGTGAGACAGCGAGCAAGAGAAAGTGAAAAAGCAAGCTGGCAGGTCCAGGACTTGAACTGCGGTCAGCCATGTGGAGTCCAGCACCTTAACCACACCACCTACTGGTCCTAACAATTCTTTAAAAATATAAAAAATAGGGGGACCACCAGGTGGTGTGGTGGTTAAGGGCACTGGATTCCCACATGGCCGATCGCAGTTCAAGTCCTGGACATAGTGGTTTGCTTTTTCACTCTCTCTCCCTCTCTTTTGCTGGTCAAACTGAAGAACAATAATAATAAATAAAATTGAATAAGTCTTTAAAAAAATTATTTATTGGGGCAGGTAGCATAGTGGTTAAGGTGCTGAACACCCACATGGCTGACCGCAGTTCAAGTCCTGGACCTGGAGGCTTGAAACTCATGCTGAGCTTGTGTGCATGAGTACCCAAGATCCTGAGAAGAGAATGGAGGAGAGGAGACTATGGCATGGCCATCACTCCTGGAGGGTAAATTTTTACTTTCTGTCACTCTGGTGACTGAACACTCCCTATAGCAAAATTGTCTCTTTAAAAAAAAAATAAAAGCGTTATTGTGGTGGCGTGGTGGTCAAGGCACTGGACATTCCCAAAAGGTCAACCAGGTTTGAGTCCTGGACCTGGTGGCTTGACTTGCTTTCTCACTTTCCTTCTCTCTGTGTGTCTGTCTTTCTCTGGTCAAATTAAGATAAATGGATGAATAAATAAAATTAAATAAATAATTCTATTTTTCAAAAAGGCATTATTTTAAATTTTTTCTTTCATGTGTGTGTGTGTGTGTGTGTGTGTGTGTGTGTGTGTGTGTGTATGTGTCTCTTAACATTTCTTTTTTTGGAGAGGGTTTTGTTACAGGGTATGTGTGCTCGCCAGAAAGACAGAGAGAAAGAGAGAGAGAAAATGAGAAATCACTCCCCGAGGAGGGATGGCCAGGCCGCAATCCCTTCTCCTTCATTCTCCTCTCGGGATCTTGGGCACGCATGCACATGTGTCTGGCATGAGTTTAAGCCACCAGGTCCAGGACTTGAACCGTAGTTGACTACATGGGAGTACAGTGACATAGCCATTACACCAATTGCTGGTCCCTAATTTTTTTTTTTTTTAAGAAAGATTTTTTTTTATAGGGCATGTGCAATCACTGGAGAGAGACATAGAAAGACAGAAAGCAAGAAATCACCCCTGGGGGGATGGCTACGCAGCAATCCCTTCTCTTCCAGGATCTTGAGTACATGCACACATACACCCAGTGTGAGTTTTTTGTTGTTGCTGTTTGTTTTCTAAGAGAGAGATTTTTTGCTATAGGGTGCATGCACTTGCTGGAAAGACAGAGACAGAGAGACAGAAAGCAAGAAATCACTCCCCAGGGGGTTGGCCACACTGTAATCTCCTTTCCTCCATTTTCCTCTCAGGATTTTGGGCACATACAGACAAGCACCCATTGTGAGTTTTACGTTGCCAAGTTTAGGACCTGAACCGAGGCTGACTACATGGGAGTCCAATGACGTAACCATGGTCTCCCAGCATGAGTTTTTAAGTCGCCAGGTCTGGGACTTCAACCACAGACTCAAACAAGGTAACCAATATGCCATCTTCTGGTCCCCCGATCTTTTTTTCCTAAAGAGATTTTTTTTGCTATAGGGTGTGTGCACTTGCCAGAGAGGCATGGTGAGAGAGAAAGTGAGAAATTATACCCCCTGCCCCAAGTGGGGGTGGCCAGGATGCACTCCCTTCTCCATTCTCCTCCCAGGATCTTGGAGACGTATGCACATGCTCCTGGTGTGAGTTTCAAGCCACCAGGTCCAGGACTCCAACTGTGGTTAGCCATGTGGGAGTCCAGCGATGTAACCACTATGCCACCTGTTTGTTGGGTCCCTTAACTGCTAGGCCATGAGCCAGCTCTCAAATTTTCTATCTGTAATAATCACATATGCTGTCTATACCCCCTAAAAAGAGAACATTTGAATAAATATTTTGGGAAGCAGCAAGAACCAAATCTAATTTTATAGCTATTAGAACAGTTATGCTTTCAAAAGTTCAAAAACTTTACAAATGTCCATAAAGTACTAAAGATTAGTGTGTGCTACATAATGAGTAGTATTCAAATATGGAGAGTTTTTTTTTTTGGGGGGGGAGAGGTTTTTCGCTATAGGGCGCATGTGCTCGCTAGCAGAGAGAGACATAGAGACAGAAAGGGAGAAATCACCCTCCAGGGGGGATGGTCACGCCGCAATCCCTTCTTCTCCATTCTCCTCTCGGGATCCTGGGCATGCACGCACATACGCCCGACGTGAGTTTTAAGCCACCGGGTCCAGGACGTGAACCGCAGTCGACTACAAGGGAGTCCAGCGACAGCCATTACACTAACTGCTGGTTCCCTCAAATATGGAGAGTTTTAACCGGTCATCAAATTTTCAACCTTGTAATAGAGGTTAATAATAGTTATTTTCTTAGGAAGAGAGAACATTCTCTCTGAATGCAATCTTAAATAAAGATTAATTTAATTTAGATCATTGTATTAATAGTATTTAAAAGTCAGGGCCCATCCTCCAACAGTCTTACTTCTTCAGGGTAGATGGACACTTTCCTTATCACGTAATTACATCCAGTGTGTAAATCACGCTCAAGTATTTTAGCTTTGTTTTATGACCTAAATGCCTTGCTAATTGAGTTTATAATATAGGATAAGGGATTACTGTACCTTGAAGTAGTTTGTCAAGCTCTTTGGATCCAGTAGTAATCTGTATGATCTCTGATCGCCTTTGGTGGAATTCAGTTGCAGTGGTGAAACCCATTGGAACTAATTTAGCTGCCTCAGCCTGAGAAAAATAAATGTAAAATCAACACATACAATGGGAAGAGAGCACCTAACAAAATTCCCAGAATGATTTATCTTTAAAAAGTAATCAAAGGATAATCTAATTCAGAAACCTGAGGGGCTAGACAATAATATGGCAGTAACCTAATATTCTAAAAGGCTGACCCACACAGGAAAGTTTTCAGTTTGTGTCTCAAGATCTCCCTAAACATGCTAGGGGTACAATGCTGTATGAAGACCCTATTGGGGATGACTATCTCTCTGTCTCTCTTGTTTGTGGAAGAAATAAACTTAAACTCCACGAAGATCGACTTCTCTCTCTCTCTTTTTTTTTTAAGGGGCTTTTGCTATAGGGCATGTGCACTAGCCAGAGAGACACACACACAAAGCAAGAAATTAACCCCCAGGGGGGATGGCCACGCCACAATCCCTTTTCCTCCAGGGATCCTGGGCATATATGCACACAAACATGGCCTGAGTTCTAAGCCATCAGTCCGGGAATTGAACCACAGTTGACTATGTGGGAGTACACCATCTACTGGTCCCAAAGACCAATTTTTTACAAATTACCAATCCGAATAACTTTAAAAAAGAGAGAGAAACTACTGAGTCACCGGGAAAGTCATGATGTATTTTTGCATAGAAAAACATCGAGGGAACCAGCAGTTAGCATAATGGCTATGTTGCTGGACTCCCACCTAGTCGACCGCGGTTCGCATCCTGGACCCAGTGGCTTAAAACTCACGCCGGGCGCGTGTGCATGTGTGCGTGCGTGCCCAAGATCCCGAGAGGAGAATGGAGGAGAAGGGATTGTGGCGTGACCATCCCCTCTGGGGGGTGATTTCTCGCTTTCTGTCTCTATGTCTCTCTCTGTCTGGCGAGCGCACGCGCCCTATAGCGAAAAAAAAAAAATAACCTCTCAAAAAAAAAAGAAAAAGATCGAAAATTATGTCATGACTTTCCTGATTATCTAGGGCTGGCTGAGGCTTGGGGTGAACTGCATTATCAATACCTGGTAGGGAGGCATCTGTCTCTCTTTCTCCTTTCTCTCTCTCTCTCTCCCCGTCATGGAATAAAAAAGAAATGAACTAAAAATATTTTTTCAAAGATTAAAAAAATGTGTTTACAATGATGTTAAAATTAAACAGTGTACACCTAAATAACCAACAAGTTGAAGATGAAATCACACAGGAAATTTAAAAATACTTTGAGATTATTGAAAATGAATATATACATACTGAAACATGGGATATAGCAAAGCAGTGCCTAGAGAAGGATTTATAGTTGCAGATATCTCTATTAGAAAAGAAGATCTCAGGGGGGTGGGGTGGGGCTGGGGGGTTCCATGGTGATTAAGAGCGCTGGACTCCCATATGGTCATCCGCAGTTTGAGTCCTAGACCTGGAGGCTTACGTTCTCACTTTTTCTTTCTCTTTCTCTCATTCTGACCTTCTCTAGTCAAATTAAAATAAAGTAATAAATAAAGTTAAATAAAATAATATTATTTTTAAAATAATAAAAACAGGGGCCAGGGGACCAGTAGTTGGTATAATGGCTATGTCGCTGGGCTCCCATATAGTCGACTGCTGTTCGAGTCCCAGACCTGGTGATTTAAACTCACTCCAGGCGTGTGTGCATGCATGCCCAAGATCCCAAGAGGAGAATGGAGGAGAAGGGATTGCGGCGTGGCCATCCCCCCTGGGGAGTGATTTCTCGTTTTCTCTCTCTCTTGTCTCTCTCTGGCTTTCTGGTGAACACACACACCCTATAGCAAAAATCTCTCCAAAAAAAAAAGAAAAAGAGAAAGAAAGAGAGAGAGAGAGAGAGAGAGAGAGACTAATGGCTATATCACTGGACTCCTATGTAGTTGACCACAGTTTGAGTCCTGGACCTGGTGGCTTAAACTCATGCTGGGTGCATGTACGTGTGTGCCCAAGATCCCAAGAGGAGAATGGAGAAGGGATTAAGGCGTGGCCATGGGGGGGGGGAGGGTGATTTTTTGCTTTCTGTCTCTGTCTCTCTTTCTGGTGAGCGCACACGCCCTATAGCAAAAACCTCTTCAAAAAAAAAAAAAACAAACAAATAACAAAAATAGTTCTTAAAAAATTATAATAGTAGGGGCTGGCAGTTGTTGGTTGTTAAGGGTCCTGGACTCCCACATGGCCAACCATGGTTCAAGTCCCGGACTAATGGCTGGCTTTCTCACTTTCTCCCTCTCTGGTCAAATTACAGTAAATAAATAAATAAAGTTAAATAAAATAATTGGAAAAAAAAAAAAAGAAAAGAAAGCAAAGAAGATCTCTAGGGACCAGCAGATGGCATAATGGTAACATCGGTGGACTCCCACATGGGTGACTGCAGTTCAAATCCTGGACCTGGAAGATTGAAACTCACATTGGGTGCATGTGCATGCGTGCCCAAAATCCATAGAGAATGGAGGAGAAGGGGCTGGGGCACAGCCATCTCCCCAGGGGTGATTCTGGCTTTCTGTCTCTCTGGCAAGAGCATGTGCCCTATAGCATGTGCATGCCCAAAACCCTGACAGTGGAAAGGAGGAGAAAAGATTGTAGCATGGCCATCTCCCCATGGGGGTGATTTCTCACTTTCTTTCTTTCTCTTTCTGTCTCTATGGTGAGTACATGTGCCCTACAGCAAAAATCTCTGTATGTATGTATATATATATCTTTTAAAAGCTTAATTGCAATGTTTACATTAAAATTTTGTAAGTTTAATTCATTGTAGAACCAAATGGTATGCTAGAAATACAATCATTTCTCTAAGATTCCGAAACTACCGGTGCTTTCACACGTTTCTGCATGTTGAATTCAAATGAATTTTCTTACATATGCCACCAGTTTCAAATCATACCCTATCTTACTTTGCTTTATACTTGTACAATGTCTTTTTCTCTAGCATCCCCTGATTTTATCACTTGTCAAGTTTTCCTAACTTCTCAATCTTTCTACCTATTCCACTATATCCGTTTTTCCATCTAAAAATCCTCTTTCCTTCTCCAAACTGGGCCAGTCCGTTTTTCAAAAAAAATCCTCTTTCCTTCTCCAAACTGGGCCATAGCTTTTTAGGATACGTATTTTCCTGGGCCTTCCTTCACTATGTACCTCGAGTTAAAGCCACTCTGACCAAGACCTGATGTTTCCTGGTCTCATTTAGGTGATAATAAATTATATCTTCAAGTAATTTCCTAAGAATAATAGATGAATAGAAAGTGTTGTGAATTCTTGCTATCCTGACAATGTTTCATTCTGCTTAATATTTTACTAATAATATTGTTACAGGGCCAGCTGGTGACACAATGGTTAAGGCAGCTGCATCCTACTGGCCAACTGCAGTTCAAGTCCTGGACCTGGCAGCTTGTAAGACATGCGGGGCATGTGTACATGCTTGCCCAGAGCTCCTAAAGGAGGCAGAAATGGAGAAGAAATTGTGGCACGACAATCCCCCATATGGGGTGCTTTCTTAGTTTCTTTCTCTCTCTTGTCTCTAGTGTATACCCACTCTGGCAAGATTTTTTAAACTGCATACTGCTACAAATAGAATTATAGAGTTAAAATATTTTCCCTCAGAACTTTAATGGCATTGCTCTACTAGCTTCTACCATCCAGGTATCTGATGGGACTAATTTTCGTTCCTCTAGAAATCACTTCTTTTGCTCTCTGAATCTTTCAGAATCTTCTCTTTACGACTGGCATACTGAAACTTTAAAACTGAGGTGCCTAGGGGCCAGCAGGTGGCGTGGTGGTTACGGCGCTGGACTCCCACATGGCTGACTATAGTTTGAATCTCAAACCAGGAGGCTTGCTTTCTTACTTTTTCTCTCTCTAGTCAAATTAAAAAATAATAATAGGCCCTCTTTAAGAGACACCTGCGATCTAGCCATTTTGGGGGAAACGGAGAAATGAAGAGGTCCCACTGATAATTCGGCCTCCAGCATACAAAACTCGTGTGGAGAGGCGGAAGGGAACAGAACAGGCCCTCTTCAAGAGAGCTCCATGGCTCCTGCGATCTAGTGCCGTGCGGTTTTCTAATTTTTGGGTTTTATTAAATTTTTTTGAATGTTAATTTTTTTTTTTAGTTTTATTTAAAAGTTTTTCTCTTCATTTTTTTTCCTCTTTTTCTTTGTTTCTTGTCTGTTTTTTTGCTCTTATTGCTATTGTTTCCCTCTCTGTTTCCTTTTCTACACACTCAACTCTCAGATCAAACTTCTAAGTTTGGGAAGAAACCGATCATACACCACATGACTAGAAATCGCTGCAGGACCACAAGAAATATGGGGAAGCAGGAAAATACCTCTCCTCCAAGGGAAAAGGATAACTCCTCTTCATCCACACACAGTTCAATGGAAATCATGGAAATGTCTGATAAAGAATTCAGAACATTCATAATGGCAAAGCT